GATGCTACTGCAACTTGTGTTCTGTTAAAGTTTAGAAGAAAGAAGAGGGCTGCACTAGCAAGAATGAGGGTACAAATAGCAAACCCTAGAAGAGTTGTACTCGCTATAGAGCACCCCACTACAGGCTAGAGCATAATATTCTGACACACCCCCATAGCCAAAGTGGGGTGTAATCAGGAGAGCAAGCAAAGCAGAACAAGCTCAGGGTGGATCACAATGTCACCACACATTCTGAGCACAAGTTCAAGAAGCAATAGTTTAAAGTTCACAATTATGAGCAAAGCTAGTGGTAGTCACAACAGGCAAGCGAGGAGGAGGAGGGACTGTGAGAGGAGAGAAGATGAGAGACGCCGGCTGAAGCTGCAGGCACACGGGCAACAGGAGCGGCTGGCACAGTGGCTACCGGGACAGCGCCACGGACTACTGGAGTAACTGGCTCACGGGCTACGAAGAGCTACAGGAGCAGGCGCAGCAGGCTCTCTGGGCTACCAGGACAGCGCCCCGGACTACAGGTGCTGTGGACGACAAGACGGCAGCCTCCTCTCAGCCTCCCCAAACAGTCCCACCCCCCTGACACACACCCGTTGCTTCACCCCTAGCTCCACTCCCCCTTCACCCCCCCTTAGTACCACTCCAACGGCTCCAACAAGTCCACCCCCCCTCACCGGCAGCTGCAGCACAGGGAGACGGAGGAGGAGGAGGAGCTGGGAACGGCACACAGTGGGTTCACCCCGATACCCCTCACCCCCAAACCCTAATTCAGGAGAATGGGGAGTAGGAGGGGTGGGGCGCTAGTAGAAGCACCGGGGGACAGCGGGGAGGGCAGGGGCAGCAAGGAACGGGCCCACCACGGGCCTGGTACAGTCGCCCGAGCCGCGCGCAGGCGGCTCGAGCCGCGCGCGGGCCTGGCGTCGCCCGTACGGGCCGCGCGCGGGCCTGGCGCAGCCCGTACGGGCCGCGCGCGGGTTTGGCGCAGCTTGTACGGGCCGCGCGCGGGCCTGGCGCAGCCCGTACGGTCCGCGCGCTGCTTGTACGGGCCGCGCGCAGGCCACGACGGGCGACGGGGGGCGACGCGCGGGTCCCCATCGCCCGTCGCGGCGCCTCCCGAGGGCGACGCGTCGAATGACGGGGCAGAAGCCCACCGCGCGCCTCGGGGCGCACAGCGGGCAGAGAACCGCCGCGCGCCTCGGGGCGCACGGCGGGAAGAAAAACTGCCGCACGCCACGGGGCGTGCGGCACAGAGAGTAGCAGTAGGAGTTGCAGCGGAAGCAACGAGGTGGTGAGCCCACCCACAGGATCGATCCAAGGGGATCGACCTGCTCTGATAGCATGTCAAAGTTTAGAAGAAAGAAGAGGGCTGCACTAGCAAGAATGAGGATACAAATAGCAAACCCTAGAAGAGTTGTACTCGCTATAGAGCACCCCACTACAGGCTAGAGCATAACATTCTGACATGTTCGTGTACCATGTGTGTTGTCCTCGCAGCTACGGATTCAAAGAGATGCTGCGCGCAACCTCCACTTACCTTCAAGAGACTCAACGCGGCCACCTTCTGGAATCCCCATATATAGGGATTCTTCTGGATGAGAGCACCGACCGGGTGAATGGCAAGCACCTGATACTGTATGCGACATTCTTCAAAGGGGTAACTTCGGTAACGGAGTTTTTAACTCTCATTACCGTGGACCGTGCCGATGCGGCCTCGCTAACCTCCGCTGTTGTGCAGTACCTTACAGGAATCGGGGTGGATCTCCAGAGGATTTCTGGAATATCTACGGACGGAGCGAGTGTGATGACCGGCAAGAACAACGGTCTAGTCGCAAGGCTGCGACTGCGCATACCACACCTGGCTTCAACTCATTGCGTTACTCACAGGTACGCATGTTGGATTCTGAGTTTTTTCCAGCACAGGATCAGTGACGCGCAAACCGTACTAACATGCTCCAGTTGAATGCGCAGGGAGGCATTGGCAGCTAAGGATGCGGCGGAGGCAGTCCCCGAGCTCGGCATGGTGGACGACGTGGTGCGTGCCTTCTCCGAGCACATCGACCGCAGCAGCGTGGACTACACCAAGTTTCAGAATCTCCAGCGCGTCTACTGCCAAACGAATCTGGAGGCGCAGGGCATAAACGACGTGCGTTGGCTCTCCCGTGGCGAGGCGATCCAGCGGTTCCTTGATGTTCTGCCTGCCGCCATTGTCGTGCTGAAGGACTACAAGAAGGACTTGTACGAGGTAGTCACCTCGTTCAAGTTCCACTGGCTCATCCGCTTCCTCGCGGATGTGCTCTGGGAGCTCAACCAGCTCAATCTGCGCTTTCAGCAACGTCAGGTAACCAACTAACAATCACAGTTGTACTTACACGCACGCCTACAATGCTCTTTTTGACCGCATGTCTTATGTGTGTGCAGGTGGACGTCACCCTCATGGCGCACCTTGTACAACAGACGCGGATGTGCCTGAAGACGCACTACTTCGACAGGTCCCCTGGTCACTTTTTTGGCAGCGGAGAGAAGATGCAGCTGCCTGACTTCATCAAGGCTCACCAGAAGATGGATAAGCGACAGATGAAAGCGGAAGGCGTGGACGCGGACGGCAACGCCGTCTCCTTCGAATTCACCCTGCACGAACGCCCCCTGCCAGGCCATGAGACAGACGGTGATATAACCGCGTGCTTCGAGCTTTCGCTCAAGTTCATCCGCAAAGTGGACGCGGAGCTGGAGTGGCGCATGCGCGACCTCAACCTCCTCGAAGGCGCCAAGCTGTTTCGTACGGCGTCGTATGTGGCCGACGACACCCAGCGGCTGGAGTCCTTCAGGAAGTGGCTTGGCCAGCTCCACAAGCTGTACAACCACAAGCTGCCTGGTAAGCGTGTTTGTTAGATGGGGCGGGTATTAGTGATTGACTTGCGTAAACAGCTTTGCACCAGCTTGTTTCCCATCGCGCTTGTTGCTACTCATCACCCGGCCCTGTATTGTGGACTAATGCCTCCCAATCCTACCCGTATGTATGAGCGTCTGCCAATGATCATCCCCTTCCGCACTACCAGGGTTCGACTACAAGCGTGCCGGCCAGGAGCTCTGGATGTTTACCTCGACCATGTTCTCCCAGCACAACGGCGAGGAGTTTCATCAGGCGCTGGGGAACATGCTGCGCGACGAGGCGTAGCGTGCGTCGTTCCCCAACATCGTCCGGATGTGGCAGTCTGTCGCCGTGCTACCACTGAGCACGGTTGAATGTGAGCGCGGCTTCAGCAAGCAGAACCTGATCAAGACGTGGGACCGCGGCAGCCTCGGCGACACAAGCCTTGAGCACCTGATGCGGTGCTCCCTCCTGCAGTACGACATTGACTGGTATGAGGTGGTCGCCATATTCCGCGGGGAGAAGCTCAGGCGATCCACCAAAGACTTCTCTGGCATGAAGGCCAGCAGCACTAAGCAGTTTGCAGACGAGGCAGTTGCTAGTGCAGCAGATGTTGATTGACTAGTGTCTTTTGTAGGGCCCTCTATTTAACTTGGTTGGTAGTAAAGCTTGTAGGTGCAGTGCAGAACACTTTAGTGATAACTAAGTAATTGTTGTAGTAGTACAATCTTATGCTTAGGAAGGAAACAGTGTACGACATATATTATCCTGCCAAAATCAGTGTACCAAAACTTTTAGACTGCTACAATCAGTGTACGAGAAACTTTACCCTACCAGTCAGGGTACGGAGGGGATGCCACCCTGATTTGAAAGAGTGAGCTAAAACCTATTTTGGGCCCTGCAGGGGGCGGAAAGAGGGCAGGGCGGGTGCAAATAGAAAATGCTAGCAATTAGTACTGCCGTAACCCTCACCAAAGTGCTGTCACAATATAGGTAGCGGCCTGATCGGTTAGAGTTGGCACCCTAAGGCGTATGGAATTAGGACCACCAAAACTGTTGATTGAAGACAACGAAGACTTAGGTAAGACATTGTGAGAATAAGACACTTACAATGTAGAATGACCACTATGGACCCTTCGTCCTTCGTACGTAAGCCATTACGATGAAAGATCTAAAAAGACACGAGTTTATAACCTTCTGATATTGGCCATTGACAGCTTTAATCAAAGCATTCTGGATTGTACTCTACGGGTGTTTGACTTTCTGCCATGTTTCTAAGAAACCAGGAAACCTGACTTTAGGGTTTCGAAGCTCAATGCTTTCTGTGCCTGCTGGATGACACTCATATTTCGACAGCGAGGGACTTCCAAGTGAGATATGGAACTGAGGGGGTGGGTGGGAGGGGTTGGGGAAAGGAGGGGGGGGGGGGGGAAGGAATTGGTTTGGTTTCCGCAGGTTCGTTTTTGGTGCGAGGGGAGGCTGCCGCTTTGGTTTGGGTTGGGGGGCTCGATTTGTTGACAGATGCGTGTGTGGTGTGGGATTCGCTTCTGACATGCCTGCACTGTGGTGCCTTCACTGTACAGAAGCAACGTGGGTCAACTGGTGAAGCTGCGGGTGGCGCGCCAAGACAGATTTCTGCTGGGAACAGTGCCACTGTTCGGATTACTGTTGGCTAGATTACACCTGCAAGCATTTTCGGGCATACTTTGAGTATGTATGATATTGGCCGAATTTCTGACGCATCAGACGGGCCCGAAGGGTTTTATGCCAGCGGTCACAAGCGACAACGCCTGTTTGTGTGGGTGTGGTACAGTTTGTCACCACACGGAGTTATGGCCTGATCCGCGGTAAAGAAGTTTCGGTATCAGGTAGTCTACACCCTACCCTGACACCGTCAGGCTAACCATAAATCCAATCAGTGTTTAAAAAAAAAAACATGCTCTTTTTGCAGAAGGGTAACTATCGTGAAATCCTGATTTTGGCAGGGTAATCCTGAAAAAGCGGCCGGCCCCCAGGGTAATCAGGGCGTTATACCCTGATATTTTGGGCCCTGTTACCCACGCTGCTGGTGAACAAGCCTCTGTAGTACTTGGTATCAGCAGGATTCACTGTCACCTCAAGCCTTGAGTCGACTCAAATCTCATCGAAGTGCTGGGCGCAGCAATGCGACCTTCATGCCTTTACGACAGTCATTGCCGACGCTGCTGGTGAAGAAGCCTCTGTAGTACTTCTTATCGCTGACATCCAGGGTCACTAGCACCACGAGCCTGCCCTTGTTCGAGGGCTTGGTTAGCACGTAGACCTTGTAGTCGCTTTTTCCAAAGAAGCAGAGGTTGTAGTTCCAATCTGAAACCGACACCACGTTGTGCTTGCGCCGCCAGTCGTTCCACTTGAACACTGCAGACACACAGGCATGGGCGTTGGGGGAGAGACACGTGTAGTGGTAGGCAGACGCATGGGCGTGGGGGTAGGCAGGCAGACGTATGAGGAGTACGGGTAGGAAGACGCACAAGGGCGAGGGAGACAGAGAGTGCGAGACATGGAGACTCAGAGAGAGGGGGGGGGATAGGGGCAGCAGCAGGAGCTGACCTATCTTGTCGCCCTTGGCGACAAAGGGAGGCCACCATGTCTTCACACTCGGCTTCCAGCCCTGGTTCTTCCACCCCACCACCACTGTCTTGGCGTCCTGCCAGCACACGGAGAAGGAAGCGGGGGGAGAGAGAGAGAGGGAGAGCGAGCGAGAGGAGCACACGGTTGGCTTGGGGAAGCAGCGAGAGAGAGCGAAACGAGTCACACTTCATTGAAAGCAACCAGTACCATCTTCGCACACAGGAGGGGATAGCAGCAGTGCGCGCAAGTGATGGGATGGTGTACACATGCATGCATGCAATGTTTCTCATGACGGTGCATGCGATGATGATGCACACGATGTGCGTGCGATGCGATGGCCTGCGTGTGATGGCGTGTGTGATGGTGCATGCAGTGAATCAATCGTGCGTACATCCCAAAAATGCTTGGTCTCGTATTCAAACGAATTTTACTACACGCCAAATACAATGCAGCAAAACCTTTTAAACAAACAGTGCACCACAAATCTAACCGTACAATGGTTCTATCTGCGGAAGAAGAATCAGGTCAAAATGAACTTCACGCAAAGCACTACTTGCCATAAAACGACAGCGAGGGTGGAGCAGAGGATCGAATTGGAGCTTACCGCAAGAGCAGCAGTGCGGATGGTCGTACACGGAGTGTCCAGCATCCCTGCCAGCAGAGAACCACACAGCACAGCACAGAACCGTACACCACAGCATAGCACAGCACAGCACAGCACAACAAAACACAGCATCGCACAGCACAGCAAAACACAGCATCGCACAGCACAACAAAACACAGCATCGCACAGCACAGCACCGCGCACAGGCCGCGGGGAGAGGTGAGTGAATACAAATTGCAAGGCTTAAAGCCCGAGTCTAGACTGGCTAACTTTCATATTTACTGAAGTTGAAGTTAGGTTTGCGAAGTGTGGCGACAGAAAAAATCGCAAAACAGGTGTGGCGAAGGGTAGAAGCGGGAAGTACAACCCAACCCAACTTTCGAGTTCAAGAAACAAAGCTGGCTGCAGAAAGGACAAAAATGCTACTATTTGCCAAAAGCTGAGATGCCTCGAGAGATTCTGGAATATTGACCAAGCTGTTACAAAATGGTTTTCAACATATGCAAGACCGATTTAGAAACTTGTAAAAAATGGTTTAGGGTACCATCAATGAAAAATAAAGCCTTGAGATGGGCGATTTGCTGGAATATATTTATGCCAGCCAAAAAGGGGACATAAACCAAGCAGCTGAGACAGTGTCAAGTCAGTTAATTCCCTGGTGAAAAAAATATATTATCCATCTCGTGCTCATTATCGCTCTTCCAGTTCACAACTGCAGAAGGAGAGTGGTGGTGCTGCACATCCATTTTGTGAGGCGTAAGTCGGGCTCAACTTGAGAAGACCCATGGAGTCAGAACAAGCGAGCGGATACGGGCAGCGAGAAGGAAATGGTAGAGGACATGAAAGAGACGTGAAGGGAAGGGAGTAGAGGACAGTGAAGCGAAGAGAGATGAAATGAGAAGAAAGCAAAGAGTGGGGGAGAAAAAGGAGGAGAGGGTTCAGTGAGAGAAGGGCGGAGAGATGGCGGAAGAGAGGTGCGCGGAACAGAGGGAAGGGAGGGTAGGAGCAAAGGAAGGTGGGAGGAGGGGAAGTGGGAGGAGGGAAGGTGTAAGTAATATGTGCCTGTGACGTGTGTGGGTGACGGGGAAGGGCGGAGATCAGAAGAACGGGGAAAAACAAGTGATGAGAAGCAGGGGAGGGTAGGAGCAGTTAGGAATGGAGGAAAGGGAGGGAGGGGGAAGGTGGGAAACAGACACAGGGAAAGAGAGAGAGGAACAAGGGGGGAAACGGAGGGAAGGACACGGGGAAAGGGAGAGGAGAGGAGGGGAGTGAGTGTGCGGAACGGGAGTGAATGTCACATGTAAGTGTGTGAGCGACAGGCCCAATGCAAGGCGGTTGCCCTGCGTGAATGGTGCGTTTGTTCGAGCGAAAGGGGGAGTGCGCGACGGATCGAGTGAGCGATGCGAATGAGGGACGGATGACGAGAACCGGAGAGGGAAAGGAGGGACGGGAGGGAAGAGAACGACAGGAGCGAATGCGGAACTGAAGCGAGGGGTGGGACGGAAGGTGTTGGGCGACGGGAGGGACGGGGGGAATGGGAGGGACGGGAGGGACAAGAGGGACAGGAGGGACGTGCACGACGGGAAGGACGGGAGGGACTGGAGGATGGAGGGGGGGTGAGAGAGGGAAGGGAGGAGAGAAGCGGTGAGGGAAGCAAGTGACAGGCATGGTAACAGGAGTGATGTTGGTAACAGAAGGAAGTGAGTGAGTGAGTGTCTTTGTGACAAAGGTGTGCGTGAAGGTGATGTGCAATAGCAAGCAATGGAATTGAGTGAGCAAGGGGAGTGAGTGAGGCGGGAGGGAAGAAAGGTCTCCTCAGTCCCCCTCCCTGGTCCTCGGGCAGTGGACAGAGTGAAGGAAGGAGAGGGGATGAGTGGGAGGGGAGGCGAGGCGAAGACAGGGAAGGGAAGGAGGTGGACAGAGAGGGAAGGGAAGAGAGGAAAGAAAAGGGAAGGGAGGAGAGGGGAGATGGGAACATGTGTGGGCAAGTCGTGTGTGACGCGTAGGGAAGGGGGAGCAGCGCGTAGGGAAGGGGGAGCAGCGGTAGGGAAGGGGGAGCAGCAGTAGGGAAGGGGGAGCAGCGGTAGGGAAGGGAAGAGCCAAGGGAGGAGAGGAAAAGAGAGGGTCTGGAGGAGGGAGGCGAGAGGGACATGTGTGATTAAGTCGTGTATGGCGCGTGTGGGTGGCATGTGCCTGCGACGTGTGTGGATGACGGGAGTGAGAGTGCGACGGGAGTGAGAGCGCGACGGGAGTGAAGGCGCGACGGGAGTGAAGGCGCGACGGGAGTGACGGCGGAACGGGAGTGAGTGTGTGAGCGACAGGATTGAGTGAGAGATGGGAGTTAGTGAGCGACGGGAGTGTGTAAGCGATGGCTGTGAGTGAGTGATGGGATTGAGAAAGTGACATGTGCCTCCGGCGAGTGTGGATGACAGAAGTGGGAGAGCGACAGCAGTCTGTGAATGATTTGATTGAGTGCGGGAAGGGATTGCGTGTGGGACGGGAGTGACTGTCGAGGTGTCATAGCCGATTTCGCTATTGGCTATGCGAGTGTCGGCTAACGCGATATAACCGTCAGTGGCGACGAGTGATTCTTACGATGGCGATTAATCGAGGCGGCATTCTGGATTTGCTGTTGGCTACCAGATCGCACTTGTTATGCGCGGAAAAGTCAACGGGAAGGGCCGTCTCTATGTGCTACTAAAGTCTTAGCATAGTACGGAGATGGGCATAACTATACTCGGCTAACGACGAGAACTAGGGCTATGGAGCACACTATGCTACGAGTCTAGAAAGGTATTCTCGAGTTTCAAGTTCTGAAAGTGTGAACAGTGATACTTGTTCTTGTTTGTTTCTGGCGAGGCTCGTCGCTGTTTTTGCTGTGGGGCATTTGGCCAATCACCTTCTGGCCCACCAACTCCCTTCTCGGTGGGTCGAGAGGGAGAAGCTTTCTCAATCTGGTTACCCTGTTCTTGACGAACTCAAGTTCAAGAATCTTGAAGTTGAACCCTTACCATTCTAGACTCGGGCTTTAAACTTCTCTCGCTGCTAGTAAGCGGCTTACCAGCGAGGAGCAGCGGCAACAGCAGCAGCAGCAGCAGCAAGGGGGGGTGGGGGGGCAAATGGGGTTTAACTTACCCGCGAGGAGCAGCAGCAGCAGCAGGGGGAGGCCGACGGGGCTCCACTTGACGCACGCCATTCGCCCGACAATTACTGGCTTCAGGTCCGCCAAGGCAAAGGCGGGCAGTAATTGGCTTCAGGTCCAGGCGAAGGCGGGCAATAATTGGCTTCAGTCCGTGAGATGATGTCCAGGACTAGGTGGTTTGCTCGGTGAGCACGGACGAAGGTCCGAGAGGTGGGCCGACGTGAGTCCCACAGCAGTAGTAGCGGCGAACGTTGCTCTCGTCCCACGGAGTCGGTCTTGCGAGTGCTAATAGCAGTAGTAGGGAACGTGGTTGTTACGATTGGGGTGGACGGGAGGCGAGAGTGGCTATGAGCAGATGATCATGCGCGGGTGGACATGAGTAGTATATATGCCTGCGAGATAAGAATGCTCACTGGGTGATTGATACTCGCTCGCTACGACTCACGTTCGCCGCACTTCCGCACGCCTATCAATCGAGGCCCAGGCGTAAACGGCTAAGAAGTTGACATTGTTAGGTTTGACAAAAATGAGCGAAATGTGATCGACTGATTGGTACCCCCCAGCACCCCTGGTCGAAGGCGGGAAGGTTGTTTGTTTCGAACAGCGCGACGTCGCATCCATCGAGGAGATGTGCGGACAGGAATGTTGGATGGGTGTTGATGGTTTATGCAGCGCTCCTCTCTTCAGCCTGGGATAGCCTTCAGGCGGTCCTAATCGCAGGCGGTTTGGAAATGGCAGTGCGAGTAGACGGTCGACGAGCGAAATGGGCCCACGAATCAGCGGTGAGGTTATCAACGGGGGTGCTGCTACTAAGGTAGTGCGGCAAACTGTGGTGGCCGGGGTAAAGGGGTAGCGAAGTAAATTGTCAAACGCCGCATGTGCTGCCCACCATGCTTCACTACAGATGTTCCGGGTTAGAGGCCCTCGCTGAGAGAGTCCCTTTTTCCCCCTGAGTAGAATTTTCCGATATCGCCTAGGGTTAGCCTGACCCCTATAGTCCCGTTTCTGGCGGGAAATTTTGCAGCTTGACCCAATTATTGCACGAATCAGCTCCGCAGCCAATCAGAAGCTCCAGATCAAACCAGCCCAAAATTCAAGGAAAACGATGAAGAAGGGATCGTCGATTCGATATTTTAGAGTTTTTATTGTAGGTAGTTGTTTTTCTTGACCGCGAGTACTTCTCAATCCTGTTGCGCTGTCTCCAGCGCAATCGGCGATGACATCTCATTTATCTCGCTTACACGGTAGAAGCGAAGTTCTTGAGTAAATATTCGGCCCCAAACCATAGTTGATTTTGTTTTGTTTTGACCGTAAGTCATGCGACATAGATCAGCGTGGAAAACCGTGCAACTGGAAGATGAAGCAAGCGCGGTCCAAATCTACGTAAATGCCAAACTCCAGAAACTAGTAGCAAAACAACCACTCTTCAAGCAAATTTCCTTAACGGGACTATAAGTATCGCGTTTTGCCTGGTGTTTGAAGGGCTTGCCACATAATCCGCGCGCAGCGATGTTGATCCGTCGGACTATAAACGAGAACACTTGTATTGCTTCACTAACGTCGTAATGTTTTCTCGAAACGTGAGGTCAATAGTCGTCGAAGATAACATGCTGACCTGTGTTACAGTGCGATGCAGCAAGCTGCATTGCGGTACATATAGATGTTCTACGACATAGTACTGGGATACGAATAATCAAGTTGATCTGTCTTTATCCAATAGTTAGATATGTCAACATAATACATTATTAGAACAGCAAAAGAAGTCTATCTACTAAGAGAACTACACATGCAATCGGATGTCATATGCAGGAATTTTGAATTCAAGGTTGGCACGACGAGTTCCAATCCGAATAACCAATCTCGCCTGCTGTTACGAGTGCAATTGAGTGAGCGAGCGAGAATTGCACTGTCGAAGCAAGAGTACAATGAGCGAAGGCTTTGTGAAGTAATGAGGAATGAATGAACTAGGAAACTATGTGATGCAAATATGAAACCCTAAAAACCTGTACCCCTTAGTGTCTACCCCACTAGAGCCTACAAACACTATGTCATATATATCTGACACACCCCCATAGGCAAAGTGGGGGAGAACTAAGGGCCACAAGACTAGTCAAGCAAAACAAGATCAGGGTGGATCACAACGTCACCACACATTCCGAGCACCAGTTCAAGGCCACAAGGCCAGCTCGCATGCAGAATTATATATAAAGGTAAACAAGCAAGTGCAGGTATAGATAGATCACAGTACAAGCAAGGTCAAGAAGTGAGCAGGTAAGGCCAAGTAGGCACAAGACCTAGCATCGTACAAAAGCGCTGATGATCACAAGGCTGAAGTGCATTGATAAAGATACCAGCAATGCTGGCCAGATAGGCCACGTAAGCAAGGCGCAGCTGACCACGCTGCTGCAGCTCACGAGCAAGGAAGTAGCGAAGAGCAATGTGCTTCGTTCTGTGTTCCAGTCTGTGCTCCTGACACAAGGCCAACATGGCCTTGTTGTCTACGTATAGAACTGGAGGAGAACGAGGCGGCTCTCCTAGGTCGGTCAGCAGGTAGGTGAGCCAGAGTAACTCCTGTGCAACCATGGCCCCTGCGCAGATCTCAGCCTCACAGCTGGAGCCGAGAACAGAAGACGAGCGGGTAGACCGCCACGAAACAGAGCCGGAACCAAGGCTGAAGGTGTAACCCTGTGACGACCGCTGCGTAGCTTGGTCGTCCGCCTAAGAAGCGTCTGCGTGACCAGTGAGGACCACTGGACTCCGCCCTCCAAGCACGAGCCCCATGCCCGACGTACAGCACAAGTAGCGCAACACCCTCTTCGCTGCAGCCATGTGCTCTGGTCTGTGTCTCCCAGGAGCATCATAGCGTGCCAAGATGCTAAGAGGGTATGCAAGGTCAGGTCGAGTGCCGGTCATCAGGTACATGAGGCAGCCAACAAGCTCTGGGTACGGGCCACTCGGCTCTACGGACTCATCCGAAGGCAGAGCTGAGAGCGAGTGGCGAGTAGGCAGAGGAGTGGCCTGAGGCGAGGAGTACGTGAAGTCGAAGCGCTGAAGGACCTGCTGCACCATGTGTGACTGAGTCAGGGTAATGGTGCGCTGTGCTTTGTCCCGAGTGATCTGCAAGCCAAGGTAGCTGCGCAGTTCACCCAGGTCTGTGCATGTGTGTCTCTTCTGCAGCTCGGACTTCACGTGGGCGAGTCCAGCAGTGTCCGCAGTGGCAAAGACCAAGTCGTCGACGTACACGAGGATGTAGAACGGCGGCAAAGAGGTGTCGGTGCGTAGAAACAGCAACGGGTCGGCTGTAGAAGGAGCAAACCCAAGAGCCGCAAGTGTAGTCAGTGTGTCGTGCCACTCACGGGGCGCCTGGCGGAGACCGTAGACTGGCCGCCGGAGGCTCCACTGGGTACCAGGAGGAAACGACCCAGTGAAGCCAGGTGGGCGGCGCAGCCAGATCTCCTCGTGCAGGCTGCCCTGTAGGAAAGCAGTGCTGAAGTCAAGAGAGTGAAGCTCGTAGTCGCGCTGAGCGGCTATGTGCAGCAGCAGCCAAAGAGTGGTCATCTTTGGGGTGGGAGAGAAGGTCTGAAAGTAGTCAACTCCCTGCCGCTGACTGTGACGAGAAGTGAGAATGGAATGAATGAACTATGAAATAGTTGGGTACAAGTACTAACCCTAATTGGGTTGTACCCCTTATGGGCTACCCCACTACAGCCTACGCAAATGTGTAAGCTATAATGTTCTGACACACCCCCATAGGCAAAGTGGGGGAGAACAAGTGGTCACAAGACCAGTCAAGCAAAGCAAAGCAAAGCAAAGCAAGCTCAGGGTGGATCACAAAGTCACCACACAATCCGAGCACAAGAGTAAGGCCACAAGGCCAGTTCACATGCAAGGTCATATATATAAAGGTAAAACAAGCAAGGGCAGGTATAGAAAGAAGACAGTACAAGCAAGATCAAGAAATGAGCAGGTAGGCACAAGACCTAGCACAGTACAGAAGCGTTGATGATCACAAGGCAGAAGGGCCTTGGTGAAGATATCAGCAGTGTTGGCCTCAGAGGCCACGTAGGTGAGGCGGAGCTGACCACGCTGCTGCAGCTCACGAGACAGGAAGTAGCGGAGAGCAATGTGCTTCGTTCTGTGCTCTAGTCTGTGCTCCCGACACAAGGCCAGCATGGCCTTGTTGTCTACGTATAGAACTGGAGGAGAACGAGGCGGCTCTCCTAGGTAAGTCAGCAGGTAGGTGAGCCAGCGTAGCTCCTGTGCATCCATGGCCCCTGCGTAGATCTCAGCCTCACAGCTGGACCCGAGAACAGAGGACGAGCGGGTAGACCGCCACAAGACAGAGCCGGAGCAAAGGACACGGGAGGCCATGCCTCGGAGACGAGGCAAGGAGGGGTGACCAAGGCGGTGGTGCCAAAGGAGAGTTTGGTGGGACAGCAGACGACACGAGCAGGGGGCAAACTCAGGACCAGACCTGGACACCGCAGCAAACATCTGACTCGACGCAGCTACCTGGGCAGAATCAGCAGTAGGAGGAGACTCAGCAGTAAGGGTGTACAGGCTCGACCCTGGCCGACGGGTGAACGTGGCCAAGTGTCGGCCTGTCCGAGCACACCTGCAGTGGGTCACTCGCTGACTCGCAGGAGTGAACTGGTCAACCCCTCGATCCTGTAGGTCCGCTCCACTCACCAAGTTTGTAGAGAACGAGGGGAGGTAGAGGCCAGACAGGGTGCCAGAGGGGGCTGCAGGGCACGGAAGGACAGTGGAGAAGCTAGCAAGGACAGGACCCCCAGAGGGGTCTGCCAGGGAGACTGCAACTGGCCGACTAAGCGGCGTAAGAGTGGTGCGGTCTCGAAAGAAGGAGCGAGACGCACCCGAGTCCAGGGTGAAGGTGTGGAAGGCCTGAGCTAACGTAGTACCTGAGAGAGCAGACTCACCAGCACCTGGGGCGGCAGACGCACTGGCACGTGGGGCAGCAGACGCACTAGCACCTAGAGCAGCAGTCTCACCAGCACCTAGCGCAGCAGCCTCAATGCCCGGGTCAGGCGGTACACATAGGTAACCAGCACCCTCAACACTATCAGCAACAGCATACATGGCAGCAAGAATAGCATCAAAGTCAAGATCAAAGATAGCAACCCCGGCCTTAGCCAGATCTCCCGAGCGAGGGATCTCTGACGCCTCAGGGAATTGGCGATGCCACGCGTCCGTCAGGCGACCAAAGCAGCGCTGGGTGGAGTGCAGACTTCCGCACTGCTCACCAGTGCGGTCGCTGGTACGGAGAACGTAAGAGCAGGGACCAAAACCCCCACCGCGCTGGCATGCAGTGTACCACTCACGAAGGTGCTAAGGGGACAGGGTCACACCACTCCGCTGCTGCTGCTGGCGCTGACCACCACCGGCGCCACTCCTCGGCGCAGAGTCGCGACTCGCTCCACCACCGCCGCCTCCGCCGCCGCTGCCGCCTCCGCCGCCGCCGCCGCCTCCGCCGCCGCCGCCGCCTCCGCCGCCTTCGCCGCCTCCTCCACCTCCGCCTCCTCCACTACCTCCGCCGCCTCCGCTCCCTCCGCCACCTCCACCGCCTCCGCCGCCTCCACTGCTGCCGCCGCCGCCGCCACCCCCAGCACCACTCCCACCACCACCCCCACTCCCTCCACCGCCTCCACCACCACCTCCACCGCCCCCTCCACCCCCTCCAGTGCCCTTGCCCCCCTTGCCCTTGCCGGTGCGGCGTCTCCCGCTCGGGGCAGACGCAGCGCCGACCGACTCGAAACCAACGAGGTCCGCCGCAGCAGCAGAGGCAACAGAGGGCAAGAGGGGGGAGGGAGAACACCCCTCAAAGACGGGGGTGCGAGGGTCACCACGAGAGGCTCCTACAGCGACTATGCTATTCTCTATCGTTAGGAGGGCCTTCTTGAGGAGGTCAACGGTGAGAGTGTTGGGGTAAACAGAGAGGAAGTGGTCCCTAACTACACGGAGAGAGTCAGGGAGACGGGTGACTATGTAGTAGAGGGTGATGTACATGGGGGGGGGGTTCTTGGCGCAGAACTCAGCAGGAAGCGCAGCGCGGTAGCGAGTGTCACTAGTGCGGAGGTGCGTAATGAGGTCAGCGACTGTGGGAAAGGCAGCAAGGTCAGGGAAGAGGTACGGTAGCATGAGGCGGCTCAGTGCAGCAGTGGCAGGGGAAGAGTAGCGTGCAACTACAGCGTCGTACAAGGTCTGAGCACTCATGTACTGGCTAAAGTGTGCACGCTCAGTGGTCGGTAAGTGGCGGCGCACAGCAAGGCGAGCAGCAGCGTCACGTGTGGCCCACTGTGAGCGAACAGTGGCGTCAGCATCAGCAGCAGGGGCAGGGGAGGCACCAGAAGTGAGTCAAACAGGGAGAGGCCGTCTGCCCTATCGCACTGCAGGAAAAGCTGCAGATCATCTACCCAGACCTCAAAGTCCACTGCCCGACCCTTAGCGTCAAAGGTGAGAACGCTAGGGGAAGCCATAACAGCAGTAGGCAGGGCAGTGCAGTGGCAGAGAGTGCGCTCTTACCAGGTAGGTGGAGCGATCGGGCTGCTCGGCGGCTCGGCTGTTGGGCGGCTCGGCTGCAGGGCAGCTCGGCTGCTGGGCGGCTCGGCTGCTGGGTGGCTCGGCTGCTGGGCGGCTCGGCTGCACGGTGCTGGGCGGCTCGGCTGTCGGGCGGCTCGGCTGCTGGGCGGCTCGACTGCCGGGCGGCTCGGTTGCTGGGCGGCTCGGGCGGTCGGGCGGCTCAGCTGGCCGGCGGTTCGGCTGCTCGGCGCTGCGGGCGCTGGGAGGCGGGGTCGCAGGTGGTGGCGAGGTCGCCGGTGGCGGCGTAGCGGGGCCACGACGGGGCCGTAGCGGGGCCTAAGCGGGGCCGTAGCGGGGCCGACGGGGCCGAAGCGGTGCCCAAGTGGGGCCGTAGAGGGGCCGAAGCAGGGCCGCGACGGGGCCGTAGCGGGGTCGTAGCGGGGCCGCAGCGGGGCCTAAGCAGGGCCGACGGGGCCGAAGCGAGGCCTGAGCGGGGCCGCGACGGGGCCGACGGGGCCTAAGCGGGGCCGACGGGGCCGACGGGGCCATAGCGGGGCCGTAGTGGGGCCGTAGCGGGGCCGACGGGGCCGTAGCGGGGCCTAAGCGGGGCCGACAGAGCCGACGGGGCCGTAGCGGGGCCGTAGCGGGGCCGTAGCGGGGCCTAAGCGGGGCCGACGGGGCCGTAGCGGGGCCGTAGCGGGGCCTAAGCGGGGCCGACGGGGCCGTAGCGGGGCCGTAGCGGGGCCCAAGCCGGGCCGATGGGGCCGTAGCGGGGCCGTAGCGGGGCCTAAGCGGGGCCGACGGGGCCGTAGCGGGGCCGTAGCGGGGCCTAAGCGGGGCCGTAGCGGGGCCGGCGGGGCCTAAGCGGGGCCGTAGCGGCCTAAGCGAGGCCGTAGAGGGTGGCTCGAGGGGCAGTAAGGGCAGCCAATAGGGGCCACTAAGGCGGCTCAAGGTGCTACTCGGGTTAGGAGCTAAGCGCGCTCCGGGCAGGAAAAAAAAGTTCATGGTGGGCCCTAGGGAGAATTCCCACTCGGGAACCTGCTCGATACCATGACGAGAAGTGAGAATGGAATGAATGAACTATGAAACAGTTGGGTACAAGTACTAACCCTAATTGGGTTGTACCCCTTATGGGCTACCCCACTAAAGCCTACACAAATGTATAAGCTATAATGTTCTGACAGACTGAAGCCTTGAGCCGCGTAACGTGCCTTGAAGACAGGCGAACAACCCGGCGGCCGCTTCACCCTGAAAATCCACATGCCACTGACGATGTTCGCCCCAGGTGGGGGAACCTCGTCGACGTAGGTGCTTGTGGACTTCCAGGAAGCCATCTCTGCATCCATGGCTGACTGCCACTGAGAGGAGTAGGGACCCTCCATCGCCTTTGCGTAAGAGCGCGGAGTCGGGATGTCTGGTGCATCCGGGTCTCCCTCAGGGGCAATCAGCATGGACACAAGATGAGGCAAAGCATCAGCAAAGCACTGAAACTCCTCCTGCCTGTCCTCATGGACGACCGTGCCAAGAGCACACTCACCCCCGATGGACGGAGGACAGAAAGACTCAGACTCAGCAACAAGACTAGCGGCGTAGTCTAGACGACAGCGAGCAGTGAAGTCGACAAGCTTAGCAACTAAGGCAGACGCAGCAGTGGACTCAAAGGAAGGGTCAGTGACAACAGTAGCCAGGAGACGCGTGACAGTAGGACTGGCAGCACGAAGAGAGTCAGACTCCGGGTCAGCAAGAGCACGAAGAGAGGACTCTGGAGGAGACGGCAAAGGGACACGCAGTGGAGCAGTGGAAGGACGCAGTGCCATCTGATGCGTGCCCGGGACCGCAGGAGGACGCTAACGCGGAACACGACGACCAGTGCGAGCAGCACGAGCAGGCGACGCAGGACGAGACGCAGGCGCACAACGCTCAGCAAGACCTCCAGTAGGACCAGTGTAGGGAAAAGAAGCAGGCAGTGGGGAGGCGGGCTGTAACTGTAACTCGGACTGGACAGGCGGTGGACACTCTAAGGAGCAGGACCACTAGAAGGTGGGAGACCAAGAACCTGCTCAAAGAGCGGAACGAAGTACGGCCGCGGCTGTGCATCGCCTCCAGAACCAGCAGGTACAGCACCAGCACCCCCAGCGGTAGCACCAGCGGCAGTAGCACCCCCATCTCCAGGAGCGCCAACTCTAGCACTCTCAGAAGCACCAGCGCCAGCACCACCTCCAGCGCCAACATCCCCAGCAGCTCCAGCTCCAGCTCGACCACCAGAAGACTCAACAGCTCCAGCAACTCCAGTAGCACCTACTCCAGCAGCAACGCCAGCTCCAGCACGGTCAGCAGCTCCAGCACATGGAGCACCCCTAGGACCAGCAGCTCCAGTACCTCCAATACGAGCACCTCCAGAACCCGTGGCACCAGCACCCTCAGCAGGAGTAGAACCTCCAGCTCCAGCAGCACGGCTCCAGCGCCGGGCAAACCACTCGCGCAGCTCCTGTGGAGAGGGTAGCTCACGCCGAGACAAAGCACCCGAAGGACCTCCAGACCCAGTACCGCCAAACTCCACACGAGCAGGCCCAGCACCCTCAGGCTCCACACCCCCAGTCGCAGCACCCCCAGGCTCAGCACCCCCAGACGCAGCACCCCCAGGCTCAGCACCCCCGGGCTCCGCACGCTCAGGATTAGCACCCCCAGGCTCAGCACCCGCAGGCTCAACACTCCTAGCAGCACCAAAGTCAACAGCTACCTCGACAGGCTCGACTTCGTCTACCTGAGACACTCGTGAGGGGGCAGGACCCTGAGGGGGAAGGGGGTCTACCGGGGGGGGACCTGGCGCGAGGAAGAGCGGCGGCGGGGGAAGGGGTGCAGCGCGGTAGGGGAAGAGACAGTAGTAAGGAACCGACTCGTCAAACGTGACATCCTGGGAGGACAGAACACGGCGCGAGGTGGGGTGGTAAAACTGCCAACCAGGCGCGTCAGGGGGGAAGCCAAGGAAGACGTAGGGAACAGCACGGGGGGACAGCTTGTCCGCAGACAAGTCGCGGACAAAAGCCCGAGATCCCCAGACACGGAACGCAGACGCATCGCCTACCTTCCGCGTCCACCGCAGAGTAGGGGAGGTCTCCGGCAAGGAGACCCGGGGCTGAAGGTTGATCTGATGCACCGCGTACTGAACTGCGAACGGCCACAGAAAATGGGGAGCAGCCGCATGGATCATGGATGTACGAGCGACGTCCATGACCATGCCAATGCGGCGCTCAGCAATCCCATTTTGCTGTGGAGAGGCTGGAAGCGTGAACGTCTAGCGGATGCCCTGTGCACAACAGAAGGCTCGCAGAAGGTCAGAGGAAAACTCTCCGCCTCTGTCCGAGTGCAGACGCAGAACAGGAAAGTCCGAGCCAAAACTCTCTCTGAGCTGGAGACGAGCTGCGCGGATCCAGTCGATCAACACCTCAGGGACCTCACCCTTGCTGCGCAAGGGGAAGACCATGGTGTAACGTGAGTAGTCGTCAACTACCAGCAGGAAGTAACGCTCGTGACCCTGTCCACGGACGCGGGCGGGGCCCCACACGTCCAGGTGAAGCGTCTGCAGCGGAGCCTCTATCGGAGGAAACTCGGAGGAGTGAGGAGCGGCGCGCTGCCGTCCCTCGACACAGGGAACGCAGGTAGGGGCAGGCCTTGGAGGAAGAGGAGGGAGGGATCGGGGGAGACCAGAGACAAGGACACGGGAGGCCGTGCCTCGGAGACGAGGCAGGGAGGGGTGACCAAGGCGGTGGTGCCAGAGGAGAGTCTGGTGAGACAGGAGACGACACGAGCAGGGGGCAGACTCAGGACCAGACCTGGACGCTGCAGCAAACACCTGACCCGACGCAGCTACCTGACTAGACGCAGCAACCGGAGGAGACTCAGCAGTCAGTGTGTACAGGCTCGACGCCGGCTGACGGGTAAACGTGGCCAAGTGTCGGCCGTCCGAGCACACGTGCAGTGGGTCACTCGCTGACTCGCATGAGTTAACTGGTCAACCCCCCCATCCTTTAGATCAGCACCACTCACCAAGTTCGTAGAGAACGGGGGGAGGTAAAGACGCGACAGGGTGCCAGAGGGGGCCGCCGGACACGGTAAGACAGTGGAGAAGTGGGCAAGGACAGGACCTCCAGAGGGGTCTGCCTGTGAGACTGCAACCGGCCGACTAAGCGGCGTGAGTGTGGTGCGGTCTCTAAAGAAGGAGCGGGAAGCACCCAAGTCAAGAGTGAAGGTGTGCAAAGCCTGAGCCGACGTGGTACTTGAGAGAGCAGACTCACCAGCACCTGGGGCAGCAGACTCACCAGCACCTGGAGCAGCAGACGCACTAGCACCTAGAGCAGCAGCCTCACCAACACCTAGAGCAGCAGCCTCAATGCCCGGGTCAGGCTGAACACACAGGTAACAGTCACCCTCATCACTAGTAGACACAACATACATGGCAGCAAGAATGGCATCATAATCCAGATCAAAGATAGCAACCCCTGACCTAAGCAGCTTGCCCCAGCGTGGGATCTCAGTGGCGTCAAGGAACTGGAGATGCCAGGCGTCCGTCAGACGGCCAAAGCAGCGCTGGGTGGCGTGCGGGCCACCGCATGGCTCACCAGTGCGGTCGCCGGTACGCAGGACGTAGGCACAGGGACCAGCACCACCACCCCGCTGACGCGCAGCGTACCACT